ACATTGGTGGGATGAATGACTTATTTACGCCTGGTGAAAATGTTGTTTCATTAGAACGCAACAGTCTGAGTGGCATGGACGAGGAAATTACAAATGAGGAAGTGAAACAAGTGGTGGAGCGATTGAAGAATAATAAGGCAGCTGGAATGGATGAGATACCGTATGAGATGTATAAGTACGGAGGTGAGAGTGCAATTGGCAGACTGACTGATCTTTTCAATGTTGTTTGGACAAATGAGTGTGTACCTGATGCGTGGAATGAAAGTCGTGTTACCTTGCTTCACAAGGGTGGCCACAAGAGCAAAAAGGAACTTAGGAACTACAGACCGATTGCCCTTGCTGACACCAGCGGTAAGATTTTCTGTGCGGTTATGAATGAGCGGATGCAAAGATGTATTAGGAACGAAAGAGTGTTTGGTGAAGAGCAAAATGGTTTTAGATACGACAGAAGAGCAGAAGATAATATATATGTTGTGAATGAACTGATAGGGAGAATGAAAAGAGATGGAAAGAAAGTGTACTTGGCATTCCTAGACATAGAAAAGGCGTATGACCGGGTGGATAGAGAGCTTCTGTGTCAAATACTGGGAAAAATTGGAATGAGTGAAAAATGTGTGAGGCTTGTGAGAAGTATGTATGTGAATACTAGAGCAAAATATAGACTTGGGGATATTGAGACGGACTGGGTGAGGAGCAGGAGAGGCGTACGACAAGGCTGTATCCTGTCTCCGCTTCTCTTCAACCTCTACACAGAAGAGATGGCCACGAGGGTGAAGAGAATGGATGTTGGTGCTGTCTCTTATACACATCTAGATGTGTATAAGAGACAGCGCATTTACCTTCCATTGAAAAAAACGGAAATTTTTATAAGATGTTTAACGTCGCAAATGGATTTTTGCCTAGAATCACACAACACATGTCTTAAATTGCTCATAAAAGAGTCTCATCATGTTAATGATTTTTAGTTTCTTTAATTATATTAGTCGTAGCTATAAGGTAGTGGCTCTCATTTTATTATGTTTGAGCTTATATTTCATTGCAGATGAACCGTTTTTGTTCACTGGTTGGTCAAAACATCTTAACAAGTGTTTCCCGAACTTTGTATGTTCGACTCTTTTTTTTTCTTTATCATAAAATTTATCATTATCAAATATTGAAGTCCGCGCCTCCGCGATTTAGTACTACGCTCTCGTCATACACGTATAACGTATATGGTAAACTGTGACAGCAGCAAGAGATGAAGATCTTGAACTCGCCTCTCAGACTATCGTAATATCGTAAGACGTAAGGTAGGCATTAGCATGAGCTAAACTACATGTGAATTAAGGAAATTAAGGGAATAATGTTTAACTGCTGTTTCTAGGGCAAAATTTGAGCTTATTCGTGAATCGTGATCGCGCGCTGGCGGCGCTGCGCGCGTGCCATCGCCGCCAAGAGTTCGCAACTTCGCGGTTCAAGAATGGCTTTCCACGGCTTGAGAAATAGACTTACGGCTTGAAAATTCAATATTTCGCGGCTCAAAAAATCCAGTCGCGGCTCACAGAGTAGATCTTTTCCTGACTTGAATCATAGGATGAGTATGCCAGAGAATTACCTACTCTAATTCTAGTCAAAAATCAAAATTGATATTATACTTACATAAAATTTCTTGTTCAATGCACCAACAATATCTTTACACAATCAAATCCAATAGATTTGTATCCTTTTAGATTATCGACGTTGAAAACGTGTAGGTAGTATAAAGTTTGGAGGATGGATACCCGTTTCCTGCCGACTCCAGAGCCCGATAGACACTTTCTTAAATTCTGATCTGACACCTATAAGTCGGATAGGTTCATTCGGAAAATGGCATTTCACCTAAATTAGAAAAACTAATCAGTAATTTATATATGACTAATTTCTTAATCAAAGCAAAGTGTCGCTTTATATTTTTTAATACTCATTCCAACACATTCTCAGAAAAGCGGATATCACTTGAGATTATTCTGATGTCGCTCATTACAAATAATATGTATGATGGTAGAATAGTGACGCAACGATTGAATTAGTTCAGTGGTTCCCAAACTTTTTCAGGCTGGCGCCCCCTTTGGCTCCCTAGTGAATTTCTAGCGCCCCCCTCAGACATACGTTTCATTCTTGAAATTTAGTACGCTGCAATTTTAAAAGATAAAGGTTAAACACAATTGTGCATTTCTCAAATAGAACTTCATTTAGTGAACCAATATGTGTTTCAGCTGTTTTAACCGTTTCAGTACTAGAAACCTAAGACGTCGCGGGCGAATTTACGGCCGGACTCGTGGCCGGTCTCACGAGCAATCTCCAAATTCGATTATCAAGTAATATCGCCCAAACTAATGAACGCAGCTCTATGAAACTCGGAACACGTATTCATCAGAACCTAACGGTGATGTTTATCTCGTATTTTTTTTTTTTAATTTCGCCTTCATTCGTGATTTACGCATATATTGCGAAACAGGCCGGAATTCGCAGTGATCAAAGAATTTCTTCCAAACTATTGAACAGATTTGAACGAAATTTTGAATATACATTCCTAACTACCAAACGGTGATTTTTTTAGCTTATAAATTTTTTTCTATTTCATCTTCGTTTGCGAGTTTTTTTTTCATTTCACCGTCATTCTTGATTTCAGACTTCCTTATATTCGGCCCGTATCGCCGGGTAATTGTCACTTAAATTCGCGGCGAGCAAGAAATTTATTCTAAACTACAGAACAGATTTCAACAAAACTTTGTATATAAATACCTAACCTCTCAACGGTGATGTTTAGCTCGTGACAATTTTTCTATTTTGCTTTCGTTCGCAAGTTATACAGATATAGGAGGAACGACCGGCTTTTCTACCGGCCGGTTTAACCAAGAGCCTCATACGTTTAGCCGTATAACTC